GAAACCTTTTGACCCCGTACATAAATCAGTCAAAAGATTTCTACTATAGTAATGTGATGCTTCAAAGAGCCACGATTCGATGTAAATCCATTTTTTCTAAGATCTGTAATCAAGCGATGGCTTTATTTTATAATGATTTATACAATGTACTATTTTCTTCATTGTATTATAATGGAATTATCTATTAAAAAGTGATAATTGTGGCTAGAAACAAGTTATTACTCTAATATGTGTTTAATATAATACTATTTAAAAATTACTTATTTTCAGATTATATTGAAATTGACTTTATTATTTCATGTAATATAATGAATTATGGTAGAAATTATTATGTATGAGAATGTGCGTGAGTGTTATATTTTTATTTTTTTTAATCATTTCGTCATTATTTGAAATTCCGATTCAATGATTTAAATGAATAATAACTATTTTAAATTAGCATTATTGAACATATTTCTCAAATCATTTACTGTATTAAGAGAAGATAATCAATTTTTTCGCTAAATTCAATAATTATCTACCCTAATAAATGTTTTTTATCGTTATATTTTGGATCTTGCTATAAAATCAGAAATCCTACGGTTTCATTTTATAGAAAAGATTAAATAAACGTAGAGTATTTCAGAATTTCATCCGTTTGAGCACCTCTTGAAAAGGTAAATGTTGATTTTGGAAATGCGTTGCACTTTACACTAGATACAACACCATATTCAAATATACTCCAACACAATGTGTCCCAAATTAATTTTCCATTCGATAAGAGTCCAATAGATATGTTAGTTTTTGTATATTATCTATTGTACCCGTACTATCACAAATTATTGTTCCTAAACCTTTAATGAAGTACAAATATAATATGATATACTATTCACATTAGTTTGTAATGATATTATTCATTAATACTATGTGTTAGTTTTAAATGCTGATAATTTTTAACTATCATTTAATATAATTAATATAAACTTTTATTGACTTTAAAATTATAAAATTTATTTTAATAATTTATAGAGTAGCAATATGTCAATATGATAAGAAAGTGCCAACAATAAAATAAAATCGACATGTAGTATAAAATTTGTATTATCTTTATAGAGTTTGTACATTACTTGAAATTTATTTATTTAAAATATTTTTTAAATGGAGATTTCGCATTCATCTTCAAAATTATCATCGAAATCGTTAATAAAAAAATGAATTTTGTATTCTGATTTAATTTTTGAAGTTTAAAACAGAGTAGAGCGGGCCTTGAAGGTTTACGGGAAAAAAGGTTCACCACCGATATCTCAGAAACAAGTAAAATTAAGAATTTTTTAACAACAATATTTGAAATAGAGGGAAAAAGATGTATAATCAGCCATTCAGCACCTTGATTTTTTCGACGTTGCTGTGGGCAGATAAACGCCAAATGTTTGAAAATCCATAACAAATGTATTTTCTTTCGTTGTTAGTTTTTTTTTTGGTATTGAGCACTGTTGTTTAGTTTACGAGACCTTAATATAATTTTTAAGTATACGTTATTTAATTCTTTTATAAGATGTATTGTAAGTTTTGAATTAGATTCAACAGTTTTTTTTATATAACCTCTATAAAAGCTTACATGTGGGTGGTGTGAAAAGGACCAGCTGAACCTTTAACCTGACAAAAGTGTAAACCAGAAAAAATAGTGAATAAAAAAGTTAAAGGGGGCAATTTTCACAGATAAGTTATTTAGTTATCCCAACTCTGCTGATGAATATTTCTGAAAAAGTATCAGATCAAGATTGTATACAGTGTTTTCTCTATAAACAATATACCCATGGAATTTATGTTTTATTTTGATTGAATAATGTAACTAGTATTTCGCAAAATCCTTTTAAAATTAGAAATAAGACTATGCATCTGGTTGCCCCTTGGTAGTCCCATTTTACCCCGCCTAAAGTAAAAAAGACCAAGTGACAAATTTAAAAAAACAGCCAAAAACACATTTCTACAATGATTAATTACATGTGAGTTTTACTGAGCATAGTCAGATAGTTGTTTGGTATGTTTCATTGTGATATAATTCGTTTGGTTTTCACAATATAATTGCACAAAGTCAAATTGGACCTTTGTGCCCCCGCTCCACCCCATAGTTAAGTTTCTGTGCATACAATGTTGAAAATGATTAGGAGCTCTGTTTACGCAAACAATATAATACAATATAATATGTACTAGAGAAAATTATGGCTCTTTGAAAAAAATCAAAGAATGCCATATTTTCAAGCGGTTTACTATCCATCTCCTAATTTTTAGTCTGGGTAATTTTCAGATGCATTTTTAAACAATTTAATATCCATCAGCTATGAAATTTACTGGTGCATTTTTAGAAGGTTTAGCATTCTTCTGTTATAAAATTTTCGGCGTAGATACTTGTCCGATGCATTTTTATACGATTTAATATCCTGATGCTATGGAATTTTCAACTGATGTAATTTTCTGATCCATTTTTAAATGTTTTAACATTCTGAAGTTTTTAGCCTAGGTAAATTAAAGATGCATTTTTATACGGTTTTCTATCATTTTTTTTACTGAGTTTTGAGCCTATAAAAGTTTCAGATGTTTTTTTTAATGGTTAAATATCCTCCAATGCCATTACCAGTCTAAATATTTTCTAGATGAATTTCTAAACGATTTGATATCCTTTTATGAAATTTTCAGGATTCGATGCGATTTAACAAACTCCTCCTATGAAATTTTCAATCAGATAAATTTTAGATGCATTTTTAATCGGTTTAACAGCCTTCTCCTATGTAAATTTAGGTTTTTTTTTAGAGTCTTTCATTCTCTTGATATAGACCGAAACGTATGGATCTAATTAATGTGCAATTTTTAATTACTCAGTATATCTTATATATAAAAATGAACCGCAAAATGTGCACATAACTCAACAACGCCTGGGCCATATTGGCCAATTCTTTTTTTAAAATATTCGTTGAAGTCCTATAATGGTTTTTACGGCGGGAAAAAATCGAATTATTTCCGGAAAAACTCTAAAACGAGCCCTTTTCTTTTTCTCATACAAATGTTTTCTAACTAAAACGTAGAATCAATTTGATCTTTATTGCTATTATATAAAGTTCATATTAAATTACAAGCAGTCACTATAGATTCCTTCTAAACGATTATGCGGATTTTGATAAATCTTTCTGAAATTTGTTAAGAAAATTTTCTAGGATGTATGTAATTATAAAGTACTGGGATTTATGTGCAATATTGTAGAAATAAATGGAAAAATTGTAAAAAACGTCATTGTTTGCATTGAAAACAAATGAAAGCTATCATCTACCAAAAATTTCAATTTACTTATGAACCTAGACAATGAATTTATGATTATGAATAAAAAGAATGAAATGTCTCTATTATTATTGCCAAAAAGCAGCTGAGATGTGCTAGAAATTAAAATAATATAAAACACAGTATATGTATGGCAGATTGAATGATACACATATGAACAGGATATGACAGATTAATTCACTTGAAATATGAAATTAAGTATTAGGTAATCAGCGCCGGTTAATGCGATGCATGCGAAAAATACGAGCGCACTCTTTAGGGGGCGCCAACACAAGATTCGGTTATTAAATTTTCAATATAGTTTTTTTTTTCAATATATAATTTCTTTGCATCTTTTACTAATCTTTCCACAATATTTTTAAAATTCGTAAAATTTTTACTTTATAACAACAAATGGGAAAGTAAAGATGTATATTGAACACATACAATTCGGCCCTCACGGTATCGATTAGGAGAAGTTTAAGATGCAATTTTGGATATCTTAAATAATAAAAAATTAAATTAATTTAATCCTGCATGAAATACCAGTGTTATGTTATGGTTATGGTTGTGTTATACCGTTTAAAAGACTTCAATTTCCAATATAGTGTGGGAATTGAGACTCATCATTTTATTTAAAGCAGTTCTACATTTAACATCGCTCATATTATAAATGTACATGCATTTTGGCGTGAAGAGTAATTTAAAAACAAAATATTATTTTTAGGTAAACGGTAAATATTAGTATATTACATTAAAAAATTGTAGACATGGGTACAGGGCAACATCTGTCGGGTCATCTAGTTATATGTAACTTTCTTGTATCAATTTTCGTTTTACATTACCTTATCTCATTATGGCGATGAAAGCCAACCTAAATATGTACAAAATAATAATATTCTCCACCCAAAGATCTCTTGTCGATCAACATGAACGGAAATCAACTGAATTGTTGATGTTTGACATACAAAGAATCCCGTGGAAACAACACAGATCACGCGATCAATCCTCACTATGTGACAAGTGACATATAATGAGACCTTTTGCACTGATATCTACAATTCGATAAGCTGGTACACACAATTCCCCATATATAAATAAAATTCATGACCGATCACTTTACTTGTTCAGTACACTGTTGAAATTTGTCTATAATACAGATGAGACCAATTGAGAAAAATTTGAATAAATTCGGTAGTGTCACTTGATGATAATTGACATATTTACCCATTTGACAATTTCAAATAAAATAAAAATTAATATAAAATATTTTTGATAATAAAAAAGTGAATATTAATAGTGAGAACATATGTTTCTGTGTTTTAACCAAAAAACCTAAAAATCTTGAAAAAAACTTGTGCATATAATTTACAAGTATTTATTATTAAATGCAGTATCTTTTTGCATCAACAACCGGTAACTAATATCCGGAAGGATATGCTAGTCAAGAACTGGTTAATTACCGGATGATATTTTTATATAATTTTTTTTTAAAAAATGTTTGTGCTCAGATAAACGTGAATTTTATTAAACTATCATTTCTTTAAGAAATCTATTTATAATCTTTTGTATCAAAAGAACTATTTATTATCAAAATGCCTGCTGGAGCAGTTACCGGAGTTTTATCCGCAATGATGGTCGTGGCGATGACCAGCTTAGCGCTAACTAGATCTAAGAGAGGAGAAATTATTTCTGATAATTATTCACCAGAAATGGATTATGGTTATGATATTTCTGGAACTCTAGAAGTCGAACCTCTAGACAACTATTATAGTAGAGATTTAGGAAAATATGCCACGACAGAAACTAGCGATTTGTTGCATATGATAGCTAAAGATCCTAGGCACAGACAGTACTTAGCTCGAGAAAGCAAAAATATTGAAAATTTGGAAAGAAAATGGAATGTGACAACTGTGGAAAAACGTAGGGAGAAAGTAAAAGAGGTAGAAACCAAACTTTTTTTTTATTATTATTATCTCTTTTATTTACAATAGTCGATCGAAAAGGGACATTGTATACTACATAGGCATGTTGGAAAAAACATCTCCGTAGTTGTTTTTTCCATTCGATATAAAATTCACAATATTTTATTGACAATTATATAATTTTAACTATTTACTTATTGAATAATTTCTTATAAATAATGATTAAGTGTTTTCCATTTTTTATCAGGAGAGTTGATGGCTTAAATCTCAATCTTCTTGGATAGTTCTCTGTTATCAATGAGTTTGCTAATGTATTTGGGTGACTGATTAGCTTGTTTCTACACTTTTGTGCTGTTTTTGTTATTACTTCATTTATGGTAGGTGTATTCGTGTCGGCATGAATCAACCAATTGGGAACATATTTTGGAGCTCCTAAGGCAATTTTCAAAAATTTGTTTTGAAATTTCTGTATAATTTCTATATTAGTCTTATGAGCACTGACCCACAATTGTATACCATAACACTAAATTGGTTTGAATAAAGTTTTATATAAAAGTAGCTTATTGTATGAGCTTAGTTTGGATTTAGTCCCTAGTAAACCAGCTTTTTGGTTTTTATCTCCAGCTGTTGTCTCTTTTTTTATATGAGTTCGCCAATTAAGTTTTCTATCGAGGTATATGCCGAGATATTTCACATGGTCTTCTTGAGGTACTTATAAAATTTTAAACTTTTCTGTAAATAATAAAGCAGGTCTTGAATAAGTTTTTGTTTAGAAATTTAAGACCAAGATTATAAGTTTTTAACGTCCTAAATTATGTTACTGTTTGTTAGAATAATATAAGATACTTCTGAATGGTATCTGATTTTTTCATGCTATGCTATTGCACTTTTCCAAAACTAACAATAATTTTGCTGTTAAATTAAAAACTACCTTGAATCGTGTTGACTTACAAAGCACTGATATAATATGTAATATAGTATATAATAATATAAGATTATATTATATATCATATTTTATATATGTACGTCTACTGAAATTGGATTGATATTTAATAGTTTATAATTTTCAAAATTTTAATTATAAACTGCAAAATACATTAATTTAAAGTATTAATATAAACAGAAAAACGACTACTCTCTTATTTTATTTATTTATAATAGAATCTTTTTTTTAATATTTGATTTTGTATCAAAAAACTATTTGCCACGAATACTTTTAGTATTTTATTATTTTACTTGTTTCATTAACTATGAATATGATGCTTGTTTGACATAAGCAGAAAAATTTATTTTAAATATGTTTTGAAATTAGTTATCTAACTTTATATACTTCTACACGCATTTATTTATTTAATAATACAATATCGTTATGTAAATTATTATTATACATTATTCAATTTTATTTATTTAATTGAAGATAAATTTAACTAATAATATTTGTATCTTTTTTTTAACTACTTCGTACTGATCACCCATTTTGTATTAACACTATTAGAAAATAACTTTTCAACTTCTTAGCAAATATTTAGGTCTATTTTTTTATGTATTGTGTGATCGATTCGAAATTTTCTGCCGGAAAATTTTGGTACAAAACTATTTAGATCAAAGTTTTCAGGATATCTGACAAATTACCATTTCGAATTCATAATATCTTCAATCTGAAAATTAATATTTGATTTTCTTATTATAACATTTGGTACAAAATTATTTGGATCAAAGTTGTTAGAGCATCTTGACAAATTAACATACCGAATCAATATTATCCTCAATCTGAAAATTAATAATGTATTTATGTACGTAATTATAAAATTTTTCAATACTCTCTTTCGATAATTCAGGTTGTTGGTTATAATTTAACCCTTGTAGCTGTGGACTGTATTAAACACTGATTTGTTTGTATACTATGTAGTTGTTGCAGTTCTTATAACAATCACTGATTTGTCACTAAGTTCTAATGAAAGAAGATATATTTATTGATTATTTATTAAACATGTTGTTTTGCGGACTTTACTTTTAGAAGTGAACAATTAGTCTTATCTATCCCCTCTACTAGGGGTAGCAACCAACCCGTGTAAAACTCTCAATGCCATGAAGATTGTCATGGCCAATATAACCACCTTCATGACCAATATAATAAAACGAAAATACGTTCGAACAAATAATATTTGAGTTCCTTATAACTTTTAGAACTTTCTTTCTAAATTCCTAATGACAATTACTATAAGTATTTATTTTTATTTCTTCAGATGATGAGACATGCCTGGGCCGGCTACGAACGTCATGCCTGGGGTGCCAATGAAGTCCGTCCAGTATCAGGAGCTGCACATACCTCGTCAATCTTTGGGTCTGCATCCCTTGGTGCCACCATAATCGATAGTATGGACACCTTACTTGTCATGGGAATGACCGAAGAGTATGAAAGAGCTAGGAAGTGGGTTGAAGAGGAATTTACCGTGGACAATTTGGTATGTTTAAAAAATTGATAATTGGTGAAGATTTTTATCTTTGTTGGCATCTTTTACAAACTTAGCGTATACAAATTATAAAATAGAAATCTTAAGTTAAGAATTTGGTTTGTCAACAAAATCAATTAAAACGTACTTATAACAATTTACATTTCTTACATCCTTTACTAAAATAGTTATTTACTAATAATTTAGCAATCATCTTTAGAAAACTGATTATTGTTGTATACTTTATTCAAAATTATTTTTAAATAATATTTACAACGTTTTTAATATTTTAGCATATGTAGTAAATTAATTGGTTTTATTATTACCAATATTACGATTCATTATTAGATTAGATTAAATTTATTAGATTTTGAGGTTTTTACAATTTTACATTTTGAAATAAATTAAAATCACAATTTTTAAATTTAAGAAACAAAATCAAAATACAAATAAATTGAAGAATGCTTGAGTAATTTAATATCTTGATGGTATGAGGCTACATATTATGTCTTAAATTAGAGCATCTTCAGAATATAAGTCCTGTTATCCGATTTCTTAAGAAATAATAAATAATAATAAATAAAAAATAATAAATAAGAAATAGTCCGGTTTCTTAAGAATTTAACATCTTTTCTGAAAAATTATTGAAACCTATCTTATAGTCATAGCTTATAATCATCTTATAATAATTAAATGTTTTGGTTTCATCGCAATAATAGATTTCAAATTATCGTTCTACAAATTATATCATAACATGATCATAACATAGAGTGAAGATAATCCGATAAGGGAGAATTCTTGCAAACAATGATCCATTTCTTAATTATAATTTATATCCACTCAGTTTTAATGTCGAATTTGTCGCAAAAAGTTCTATATATATATATATATATATATATATATATATATATATATATATATATATATATATATATATATATTGACAAAGTCTAATAATCGGGCATAACATCAATAAAAAACATGAATTTCTTTCAAAAATTTATTTTAAATCCATACGTTTCGGCTATGATCCTAGCCTTCATTCAGTGGAAACTAAAAATAAAATTAAAAACTAAAACAATTGAATTGGAGTGAAAAGAAGAAATAAAATAGTAAATAGTACTTACAATTAGTTGATCTTAGTGTTAAATTGGAAAATTTTAATAATCCATGATATTAGGATATGGTAATGCACTACACTATGTATTATAAACATTAACTTGATATCTCGTATTTTCACAAAATACTGATTTGAAAAAATCACAAAATGGATAGTGTGTTATTCGTAGACTGGTGGTTTTATTTTATTTCTTCTTTTCACTCCAATTCAATTGTTTTAGTTTTTAATTTTATTTTTAGTTTCCACTGAATGAAGGCTAGGATCATAGCCGAAACGTATGGATTTAAAATAAATTTTTGAAAGAAATTCATGTTTTTTATTGATGTTATGCCCGATTATTAGACTTTGTTAATACATATGTCAACATCAAATTCAGAATCACACAATATATATATATATATATATATATATATTCCTATTGTAATAGAACTCTACGTCTGAAATTCAATTTAAAAAATATTTAAGATTTGGTTCAACATACGAAAGGATCTAGAGAATAATTGTTTCACGATTATTGTTACTGCTGAAGAAAGTAAAATCTGCTACCATTAAATAATATTACTATTTTTTTCTCAGAATATCGAAGTGTCCGTATTTGAGATGAATATTCGATTCATCGGTGGCTTTTTGGCTTGTTATGCTTTAACGGGCGATGAATTATTCAAAGAAAAAGCCAAAGAAGTAGCAGACAAGTTGCTTCCTGCATTCCAAACACCCACTGGTATACCTCATGCTCTGGTCAACCTCAAAACTGGGGTAAGTGAAATATTTGTGGTCGAAACTTTTTTCTGTATTAATATAAACAGAATATAAAATGTATAAAAAGAGACCGTGTTGCTTATGCTACAAATTTTGATAATTATATTTATAATAATTAATTAATTATAATTGTTCATTAGTTATATCATGATTAATTAGAATTATCAACCAATCATTATGCAGTTGTAATCGCAACACTTAACTTTCAACGTTTTTGCTTATGTTATTCTATTTCTGTATTAAATAAGGAAATCAAACATTTTTTTCAGTCTATTCAATATTTTAAAAAATTGAAGACTGATCAACGAGAACATTTGAATGTTTTAGTTTAAGTTATTTTTATTTTTTCAGGAAAGTAAAAAATACCCATGGACTGGAGGATTTTCAAGCATCTTAGCTGAATTTGGAACGCTCCATTTAGAATTCACATATTTGAGCGATATAACTGGTGATGAGATCTACAGGGACAAAGTTCAACACATTCGTTCAATCATTAAACAAATCGATAAAGTGAACGGTCTTTATCCGAATTACTTGAATCCAAAAACTGGAAAATGGGGACAACGTAAGTTACATTCATTTACAAGGCTAGAGGTAGTAAAATCTAAATTAATTACAAGATAAATATAAATTAGAGGGGCTAAGTTTCCCACTTATTATTAGGGCAAATCAGGCAGGTTACGAATTCCTTAAATGTATAAGTAATATTGAAGATATTTTTTCAGATAACACGGAGTTCTTTATATGAATTTGGTCGATTTGGGTAAATAAAATAAAGAAACAAGACGTTTAATAATTTAGAAATAAACAATACTCTTTACAGAATAATAACGTTTATATTTTGTAGGCAAGAATCATTCTAGCGTGAATTTGTATTATTTAATTGGAAAATAACTTAATTTGCGTGTTTCCAATACAATGAATAACTATACTTGATGTATTTAGTAGAGGTATTCGGTATTAAGTAAATCTCAGAGTAATTAATTAACTGATATACACTGTAAAAATTACAAACTCCTCTACATATCCTTTATCATATATATTTTACCTTCGTGCACCTAACTGGACGAGACTATTTTTTTGAGTAATAATTTTAAATTTGAAACATTGTACTTAATTATCTGGTTTTTGAGTATACGAGTATATACGTATATTCTGTCTGTTTTAATGTTTCTGGCGTCGTGTATTTATTTTTTTTTTTAAAAAAAGAGTGTGCGTAATTTTCACACGCGATTGAAGTAAAACTTATTTGCTACTGTACAAGATGGCATTTAAGTAAAAATAAATACATCATATAACAATTTTGAATAATATTTATTAGTAATATGATAACACTCGTGGATGCACATATTTATTAGTGTCACCCATTATACACATTTATATAATGATAAATTATAAATTATATATTTATAATAGCATTAAAAATACGTATAATACTTAAAATTGTGTTTGAAGAACTTCATGTAAATAAAATTAAATTACAATCATTGATTGATTGTATTTTTTTCATTTTCGCTGGCGGTATCATCTCATTCTTTGGACAGCTGTAATATCTGTCTTGCCTAAAAAAATATTTTCTATTTTAATAACTTCACAGATTTATAGAAACTACGAATAATATAGAAATAATTTGTAATCAATAAACTTACGTTTAGTTCACGAAACAAATGTGTAATTTATTTTATTATTTTCAAGGAACATGGTAAAATATTCTTCTGATTCAGGCATTTTTCATTAAATCAAGATTTGTACTACGATGTAACTTTAAAATGTTTATTTATCTTTTTCGTTTTTCTTGTTGATATCGGTACGTATACAACGTTGATGCCGGTACGCATTCAACGACAGATCTCTATTCACATACGCGAAGACCAATCACAATCGACCCGTATAGAAACGATATCATCGAGTGCGAAAGACGAATCATTGGCATTATAGAAAACATTTGCCAATTTTGAATTTTTAATATTAATTACCTCTTTTGCTCTTTTCCAGATCACATGTCTCTAGGAGCCCTAGGTGATAGTTTCTTCGAGTATCTTCTTAAGGCTTGGCTTCAGAGTGGTCGGCAGGACGCCGAAGCAAGAGTCATGTACGACGAAGCGATGGCTGCGATCACCGAAAAAATGATCAAGCGATCGCATCAGTCCGGATTGACTTATGTCGCTGAACTTAAATACGAGAAAGTGGAACACAAAATGGACCATTTGGCATGCTTTGCAGGTATAATCTTCTATATATATAAAAATAAGTCGGGTTTTCCTTCCTGACGAAATAACTCCAGAACGCACAAACCGATTTCGAAAATTTTACATTCGTTGGAAAGGTCTCGGGCTCCGCAAAGTTTATATCTAAGAAAATTAGTTGTGCATTACATCGTGCCTTAATGCAAGCTGCTGGAACTTCACGCACCGTAAAAATTCGAGTAATGACATTAGTGAGAATTATCAGAATTATGCTTGGTTAAGTCAACGAGCAATTCTTGCCGCAAAGAATAATGATGTACACGCCCTGAATTTCACCATTCAATCAAAAATTGCTGGCGATTTGGTGACATACCAATGATTCTGACTGGTCTTCCGTTTGACTTCAAACGATTGCAATATCCAGTTCGCCTTGCGTTCGCAATAACATGTCGCAAGGCCAATCGCTTAGTGTTTGCGGGATAAATTTCAAATAGATCATTTAGAAAATCATTGTTTTTCACATGGGCAGTTATACGTTGCCTGTTCACGAGTTGGGAAACCATCCGCTTTGTTTGTGTTAACGTCAGACCAAAAAACAAAAATGTGGTTTACCAAAGAGCACTTCAATGAAACAGATAATTTGCGGATTCACTTTAATTATTTAGAGAAGTTCAACTAAAAAACACTTCATTTTTGTAATCGAAATAAATTCATTACTGTTGTGTAATAAAATCAAATTTTACCCTTTCAAATATAAAACAAACAAATAATTTCTTCATCTTTCTCACGAAACCATCTGGTGGCGAAACGGAGTTCGTCGGGTTTGCTAGTATGTAATAAGATAGATCAATTTACATAATACTTTGTCCAAGTTTTTGCCAAAAATCCTGAACCAACTAGAAATTTATAAGCTGTTTGAAAAATCATTTGGTAATAGATCTGATTAGTTTTTAAATATTGATTGTTTTTTAATTAATCATTATGTTCTCAAATGACAAACTGCATGGTGAGAGTTATCGACTAAATGAGATCATCCTATAAAATTATTGGTCTATGAAAATTCATGGAAGTTAGCATTTTGGGCCACGCTCTGTGTATATTCTTTTCTGTATTTTGAATTAATCAGGAATCAAAAGCGAAAACTTTATTTTCAAAATTAGCTGTTGCAGATTTGATCGGTAACATCTTACTATAAAGATTATCTACACGTATCGGGAAGTGTATGCAAATTATCTTAAAGAACATTCTTATGTACATCACCAATTACTCTCATTAACTTCCCGTAGGGTAAGTTATAGTAATGGGCCAAAAATCGAAAATGAAAGTTTTTGCATTTCTTCACCTTTTGAAGGTTTCTGAACATTTTGGCATACATCGTAAAAAATGGATGTGTGTGTGCGTGTGTCCGCATTTTTTCGTCCACGTTTTCAGGTGCACGGATTTGAATGGTTCAAAAAACATTCGATTTCTATTGATAGGAAGATGTGCTGATTAGCAAAGGCATGTCCAGCCGTTTCGGAGATACGGAGCAAAAAGTGCAGAAAATAAAAATCGAGTTTTTGAGAGAACGGAGCATCATCCGATTTGAATGATTCAAAAAACATTCAATTCGTAATGATGGGGAGAAGTGGTGATTAGTTTTTAGCAACGGCAGGTGCGGCCATTTTGGTGATACTGAGCGAAATGTGGAAAAAATGGCAGTTTTCGAGAGAATTAAGCATCTGATTTGAATGATTCAAAAACTTTTTGCTTCTGTTGACGAAACGATTGCGTTTGGGAAAAGAGATTTTTTTTTCTCATTTTTTTTGGTATCGAAAATAATTCGAATATTAATTTTAATTATTGCTGACGTTCTAAAGTTCACTTATATACTTCAAATAATTTTAACTTTGTAATTGGGTTTATATAATTCTTATAAATATTAGACAATATTCTTTATTTTAAATTTGATTGATTAAGTTTTGTTTATTTTATTTGTTTCTGTAAACATAAGTTACAGTATTTATAATAATCTATTTGAAAACATATAATATTCCTCGAATATTCCATTAAGGTATGGGAAGTTCTAAAAATTTGCCTTAAGGCACGATGCCATACACCACTAGTTTTGTTATCAGATGTGTTGCTAATTTTTACAGAATAGTCGGTATAAATCTTTGCTATTTGAAATATTTTGCGAAATCAGTTAATTAAATATATAGATATATTTTAATATTGTATTTTATTAATTTTATTTCTTACTTTCACAGGTGGTTTATATGGACTTGGTGCACAAACTTTGCAAAATGATGTGTCTGATAGTTATTTATTAATTGGTGAGCAACTTGCAGCCACTTGCCACGAATCTTATGATAGGACACCTACAAAACTTGGTCCAGAGAGTTTCAGGTAAATTATCCAAATGGTAAATTTTCCATTTCATAAACATATTCATTAATAAGCGAGTTCAATTTTAAAAATTGAATATTTTCTATAAATTTTGAATTTATTGGCAAATGTAAATATTGGGCTTACAAATTATTTCTGAAATAGAAATTCTTAGAATTCTAGATACTATAAAAGTTTAGTTCAAGAATTAAAATTATATTTTATAGATTACTGAATGAAATTTGCATTACACCTATAATGTTTAAATTAGTTGTAATTTAGAGCAGAGAAGTGAGAAATCTTATTTTCTGGGGAACTCAATATTTATTAACGAAAGTGTACTATTAAAATTACTACAAAAACGAAATTTTTTGATCTTTGCTATACTAAATAGTCATTTTTACTCGTGTTTTTTACTATTCTTTGAAATGGTGTATCAAATGATTTTTCTACCGATATCGATAAAGTATTTATTTAATTTCTAATGCAGAGCATTTGATTATATATTTATATTACTTATTTCTGTAGATTTACGGAAGCAGTGGAAGCAAGAGCAATCAAAACGACAGAAAAATACTATATATTAAGACCAGAAACGATTGAAAGTTACTTTGTGTTATGGCGTTTAACTAAAAATCAAAAATATAGAGATTGGGGATGGGAAGCAGTTCAGGTATATAAATAGTTCCATATCTTAATCATTTATCTAGTTTACAATAATTATGATTATTTTTACAAATCTTCAATGAATAACTTTATTATTTTTGCCCAATTTCAGTTTTCAATTTTAATATTATTTTAAGATAATTCTTTCTATCATACTCTTAAGATTTTTTCGTTTAATTTGAAAATGTAGTTCATTAATTGTTTTTCATTTTATAGGCAATTGAAAGAAATTGTCGAGCCAGTGGAGGTTACACTGGTATTAAAAATGTGTACTTAGAAGATTCACCTAAGGATGATGTTCAGCAAAGCTTCTTCTTAGCTGAAACTTTAAAAGTGAGTTTTAATACAATACCTAATAAATCTACATTTTATGATTATGTAATAATACAAACTTTTCTTTCTTTTAGTATCTATATTTATTGTTTTCGGATGATTCATTGATACCATTAGACAAATGGGTTTTCAATACAGAAGCTCATCCACTGCCTATTAAAGGAGCTAATCCTCTGTATAGATCACACACAGCTACTTCTAAACATTGAAGAAAATATCTAGCAAAAATCTTTAATAATTGAGAGGTGTTCTTATAAAATAGAATTTTTTTTTGAGGTGATATATTGACCTAGCTTACGAAACTTTTGGGTAATCAGATGGAAGGCTGTTTTATCTTCTATATATTTAATACTTATTACCTTTTCTATAAAATATGTAGTAGTACGTTTTAGTACTAAAATATTCATGAGAAGGATTCTAAAATTTTATGATAAGGAACACAAATTTTATTCAAGTTTTACATTAATATATTTTTGACAGTTTTTTTTATCCATTTATATTAAATATTATATAGATTTTTTATGCATTTCAGATTTAATTTTTTTATAAAATTCTGGAATCCTTCTGATTCGTTTTTTTAAGTCAAACTTTTAATGATAATTTAATAATAGATTTTTGGAAATATTTAATATAATGCGGCCTCATGCATGATTTAATAGGGAGATTAACAGCATTAGAAAAAGTTTGACTTTATATGAAATTAATACCAGAGCTTATAATATTTTCAAAAGTAATTTATGGTAGTATGTATATTTTTTTAAAAGTTTTATATCTGAATTTAAAATGAATTTTTTGTGAAGTTTTTCTTCTTTTATTATGAAAAAAGCTTATACTTGGTATACAAATTAGGGGATATTGATTGTGAATTATAATATATTAAATATTTTGATAATCGATTCTTTTCTCCTAAAAGAGAATTATCCTAATATACATTTTTGAAAATAATTTGGGCTCTCGCATAATTATAAAAATACTTGTAACTATGATTTTGCACTTGTAAACATCTCAGCATACTTAAGTCTAGATATTGACTGTATTTTACTACATTCCTTCATGAAAAGGGAGTGCCAATTGTATATAGAAAAAATTAAATTAAATAATTGTAAATTATAAGCGTGTAAATGTATATATGTGGTGTGGTTATTGTTACAAATGAGAAATGGAAGAATTTTGGTCTTTTGTTCATATTTTAGAGAATTCATGAACAGTTAATGCAAGAGACGTTATTTTTAATAGATTAATTAAGAATATAAGCATTTTATTATAATACCGGTACCTTGTAATATTGTTATTTATTCTTTGTTTATAATTAAAAATATATTAACTGTAATTTTGTTTTTTTTAATCTAATATATCTGCATGAGTTGGCACATCAAGTATTGGCTTCAGAATATTAAACTCAAGAGATTTGTGATATGCAGACAGTCAATTCAACAAAGAAATATATAGAAAAAGTTAATAACTAATTATAATAACTAACTTCATTCACAAAAAAATTGGGTACATTATAATATTTTTAATTGCACCTCAGTATATAAGCAACATCAAATAATTTATATCACTATATTTACAAATTCTTTATCCAGTAAACCTCAAACGTAATAAAACCTTTAACATTACGTAACCGGGGTAAGGTTACACGTAACATTTACGTAACCAAAAGGACAAAGGCAACTTTGATGTAACAGCCTACACAGTTATCGCCTTTGCTACTTTTCTAAATATATTCAGTATTTATTTTCAATTTAAAACAAAAAAAGAATGAATAAATTGTACAAGTTAAGATGTAAGTGGCATTTAGCCTCCAGGTAAGTTGCATGGGCAGGCAGATATGTGCAAATAACCGAATTAATTAATAAGAATAGAGGTATATCAACTTTCAACTTGTAATGAAAGTGTTTATTTTGACTACACGTCTACACACAAGTGACTACACGTGTTGATCACACATTTACAAGTCATTAATAAGTACATATTTTGTACAATAGAACCAAATTCATTAGTTCTTTATGGCATATAGTTTTACAAAAAATCTTACAAATTACTAACTAGTAAAAATTACTTAAATTAGTGCAATTGTTACGAGTACTCCTTTGTAAGCCCTCGGCTGCTTGTTAGAACATACAGGGAGGGACTCATTATTCCAGACTTCAGTACATTTTTATAAGTGAACTACTTTTTGTAAGTTTATGATTCAGGGTGTTTGTCATAACCCAAAGTTGCAAAGGTAAATTATGACTCACATACACATGCACGAATGCCTACTTTTTCCAATATCGATTCAGAATATCTTCAGAAACCTCGAGAAAACATTAAGTTAGCAAATATGGTTGTGTAATTTCTCAGTGTAAGACCTTAGAAACACTAATTGTGCAGTTTGTCTAACAATTGGCTTTGTTAAAAACTTTGACACACTATATTATTAATTGTGGGCAATTTAAGCTATTTTGCAAGCAAAATAATCTATAATTACAAGTAGGTAAACTTGTAGTTTAAGTACTTGATCATCATATCAAAAAATTTGAAACTTATTGATTTATATGTTAACATATAAATAAATTTATTTGATGAATTGTTTATTATACTTTTTTACAATGTATTAAATTATACATTATATGTTGTATAGTTTAATTTTGTTAATAAAATTATTTATACATTAAGTTTTCAAACAGTTTGAGCGGATTTAAGTAAATAAGTTTTTGGTGCAGTTGATAAAAGTTGATGAAATGGATGGAATTAATTTTTACTTGCCCTTTGATAATTGGAAAAATACTATTAAATAGGGGGCAACAGTTCCCTATTTAATAATTTAATTCATAACTATAGTATAGGTGGTTACATTAATATAGTTTTCACAAAGATACCGAGAATAATGATATTTTCAAAATACAAAAAATTATAAGATAGAATTTCACGATTACTATAATTTATTGTAATGCTATCTTTACCATTTTTTAATCTTAAATCCTCATATTTATATTGTTAGTTAAATAGTGACTCTTGCATAATTACATTGTTTTAATGGGTTTTAATGGGTCCTTTTTTACATAGATACCGTTAATGATATTTTCGAAATGTGTAGTGTTATCATTACTATTTTTTAAACTTAATTTCTTATATTTATATTGTTAGTTATATTGTAACTCTTGCATAATTACATTGTGCTATATTTATTCTGCAATGTTTTATCTGTCTTAGAATATTGAGAAAAATAGAAACTAAGCAACATTATATCAATCTTTAATCAATCTATATATTAACATATCTATTTACAACAATTTACTAAACATATCACAATATGCACCTTTAATTCATGACTACTTTGATGTTTGAGAATCTCCAACAATTTTTAGCCTTTCGTTAGGTCTGCTTTTCAGTTCCAGCTCCATTCGATTAACATTCCATTCATTTTCTAACTTATCTGCCCAGAAATACATTACACCTTTGTCCTTTGAGCCGGTAACGTTAACAGCAAATGTAGCTTTTGTATCATCAAAATTATTGTTTTGTGTGTCTCTATAATTAAATCCATTGTCTTTAATGGGTTCACCTAGGAATTGGATAGCTCCTGGATGAGCTCTTAATGTTTTTAATGCTGATTTGTAAAATTCTGTGTTTCTGATATTCTGTTTTACAGAATTTTGGAGGTATAAACCAGTGCCAACAACAACTACTGCGCCATAGGCGGCGACTTTCATTAAAGTTCGGGTTGAAATCCTTCTCATTTTAATAAATAATTTTTGTAATAAAATAAATGTGCTCTTATATAATCCTGCACACCAATATTTAATTCAGCTTAAACAGTATTGAATCCTTTTCTTTGGAGCATATTTTGAGGTTAAGTTTTTTTTATGGACTTCTGAAACTCATGAAGGCATTTCCTAAAATAATTATTATCGGTTATTGATTTTTTGCATAATCATAATGTCAATTTTTTGCGTTAAAGCATGCAATCAAATTGACCTATATTTTTATTTTATTCACACAATGAAAGCTGCAATTTGAGCAAGCAAGTTCAGTCGTTTGAAGAAACTGCCATGCGAACAATCCGCAATTGAACGCCGTGCATTTAACGTCATATTTTGTAGTTTTATAATTATTTATTAAATAATACAGTAAATAATTTAATTTTAAATATAGTTTATTTGCTGAATAAAATTTATTAATATGTCCGATATTCAAGATCAGATTAAAGAACAAGGAGATTTAGTGAGAAAACTCAAAGCAGCTAAAGAGCCTAAAGAAAAGGTATATTTTGACAGCCACATGTATTTAACGATTGTGCAACTTTCATGATATAAGTTATAATTTGATTTTTTGGTGTAAATTGTACTTAAATGAGTCTAATTCGAGGATTTAATAACATTAAATAATTTTTTTTGTGAGGTTATCTATTGTTAGCCATATGCTGTTTAGCCTTCAATATATCAGAATTTATTACTTTCTATTGCTCTATTTTCTTATCATAAAAAACTGCAATGGAATGTACGTGCTATACTTCTTAACGCAGTTCTGAACCGAGTTACTTTCCATTATTACTGAAAATGAAAATGATGTCATTTACCTATTGTCGTTTATCTCGAGCGATTTTCTCCGCAATTTCTAAAACCTGCGCCACTCCAAGAAAAATACATATAGGACATAAAAACCAACAAAATTTACAAATAAATCCTGAACTTATTAATCAGGTTAGGAAGGTTTCTTTAAAACATAAAATTACAGTAAAAATTGTTATATTTCAAATTATTTTATTTTTAGATTGATGAAGAAGTTGCCAAATTACTTGCCTTAAAAGCACAGCTGAGTAATGGAGCTGCCCCACCGACGAGTGGGAAATTGATATTAAAGACTCCCAAAGGAACGAGAGATTTTTCTCCAGATCAAATGACATTAAGACAAAATGTGCTTGAGAAAATCCTAACAGTTTTTCATCGCCACGGAGCAGAGACTATTGATACACCAGTGTTTGAACTCAAAGTACGGTATTTATTATTTATTTATTTATTTATTTATTTATTCAACGCCCAAGGCAATAATACAATATAATTACATTTTAAAGTGTACAAATTATAAACTAAAGATATGAGAAAATTTGAGTATTAAGAGTTCATAGATAGATTTGTATATATATTTATTTATTTATTTATTTATTTAAATATATAGCCCACAGATTTCTCCAAGAGGACTCAAAAATACAATTATTTTACATAATGAATAACAATTAAAATATATACAAAATTACAATATATAGTTAGTAACATAAAATGTTAGTAAGATAAAATTACATATAATGCAGAATGTAACAATAATATTTATAAACAGAATAAGAAAATAATGAGATATTTGAAAAGAAAATAAAAAGACTAACTTGTGCAGATGGAGATTATTTGATTAGGTGAAGTGTTGTGAATATCTATTTCATTATTAATTAAGTTAAAGTTAGAGGACATAAGTAAAATTGGCGAATTTAAGAGAGAATTAGATTTAGGGGTACGTTAATTGAAAAATAATTGTGAACGAGAAGATAGCCTTGGAACATTAAAGGATAGTTGATTGAGAATAAGAGGACAGTCTATAGAATTATTGCAAAGCTTAAATAAGAACATAATTGTACAGATAAATCGACGTGAGGCAAGGGAAGGAATACCAAATTCTTTTAGTAAAGTGTTGTGGTCAAAGCCACGTTCAGGGTAAATTTTATATCTTTTATAATAAAGGTATTTCAGAAATTTTCGCTGAACCTTCTCTATCGCATCAGAGTTGTTGATATGATGAGGATACCAAATAATCGAACCGTATTCTAATAATATATATACATAACACTTAATATATATAAACTACAAATATATAACATTAAATAAAAACTAATAAAATTAAACATTTAATAAACTATAAATCACTACTTAAGACAGTCTTTTAAGGATAATTTTTCTGGCTTGATTTTTTATATTTGTCATGGACAGACCAAAGATATCAATCTCTGAAGCAAATTCATTTATTATTTTTGATATTCTATGGGTGAGCGTGAAACAAATTTGGTTTTAACTGTGGGTATTTCCAAAGTTCTATTGTAACGTAACCTAACGTTAGGTATGACTAATTTGAAGCGTTCAAGAAGTTCAGGCACATCTAAAGCACCCATCTAAACCATTATGTATAATGGTTTTTTATACTTCTTGTTGTATATTGACATAAAATTTTATATAATCTACTGTAACTGTATTAATGTTACTGCTACATGCATGCTGCTTCTTAAAGTACAGGTAACCCCGGCATAACACGGTACTTCTATAACACGTATTCGCTCTAACACAATTTAAGAATTGAGCCCATCCCCTTCATAACACGGTACTTTTAAAGCTCGAGTTTCCTCTAATACTGTTTCAGAATTGAGCAAAACCCTAATAATATAAAAAATATAGTGAAATCTATTAAAATCTAACTTTATTTAATCTAAAGTTAGTAAAATCGCAGTACAATAGCTCAATACATGTGATAAAATTAGTTCAAAAATAACTAATTTGATACTTATTATTCAAGCATGTTTGTTCTATAGAAAAAATTCTAGGCTTATCCGAACAATTAGTCATTAGTTTTAAAAATCCTTTAAATAATATGAGCATAAAGATTTAATAAAGATAACTTTGCATGTAGCAAATATATAAATACCTTTTTGTTAAAAGCAAGTAATCGCAAATATAATTTTTTTTGCAAAAAATAATGTACGGTCCTGGAGGAAGTACAGAAAACTGCTCAGGGGAGAGGATATTTTGCAAATAAATGATCGTGTTGAATAGCCCTCATCAGTTATTATGGTGCAAAAAAAAAAATCATATAATTCATATAATGTATAATACTTCTTAAACCAATTAATAAAAATAACAATATTTATTATATAATCTTGGAAGGTAACCCCTCTTTTTATACTAATTTTCTGTCCCGTATAATATGGATTTGCATAACACGCTACTTTTTTGGAACGTAACTATTGTGTTATGCGCGGGTTTACTGTAATTTATAAGATTTATTAGATTTATAGATTTAACACAGGTGTTATGTTCTAAAAAAACACTCATGTTATGCAAATTCTTGTTATATCAACTAAAGGACAAATTCAAAAAGATAAGTTATATTCTAAAAATTCATAAAAATATGCAACTTATTGTACTTTCTTAACCAAGTATAATAGATTTATTAAATTTTTCTAACACCTAATGGACGGGCCTGTAGATTTACATGTTTACTTTTTCATGAAGGTCAATGTATACAAGTTTAAAACTATTAAAAGCTTTAATAAATACGATTGTGAAATATTAAGTAAATTAATATGATTGATTTATTAAAGTTTTATTATAGTCACAATGCTTTGAATCATGTTTATCCAATTTTCCTGAATTATTTAAGGAAACTAGGTGCAGACAGTACAGATTTTAATATTAAATGATAATTACTTTGACATTTCTAAGTGCTATCCAACACAAGGATTTTCTTTTTGGCAAGATATTATCATCTTCTAGGTACTTTTTTCAGATTCATGCTTTATTTTTTAAAAAATCTATCATTTGTGTTTTCCTTCTTTTAGTGAAAAGATAGTTATATATTATTTTATTGATATGTTAAGCACAGGCAAAGTTTACTTCTAAATATTGTACTCATTTAATTTGAAGGATTTGCATTTAAGAAATATTACTAACTGTTCAGATAAGCCTAGTCCTTTTTCTTTACTATACTTCCTACTTAATTAGGGTTTTACTCAATTTTCGATCTATGTTAGTTGTAAACCTTGCTGTTTTATAAAAGGGATATCCTCAATTCTCCAACCATATTGGAGTGATCTGTGTTATAGAAGTACCGCGTTATACTGGGGTTACATAATATACTTTTGTAAAACATATATGTTTATAAATTCTATATATTACATATGCATGTTTGAGGTATATATTATATTGTAATTTATACAATATAATATACTATATACTATAGGTTTAAAAAAAATGACTTTAAAAATACAAAATCTTCTGACCATTGTCTTTTTCAATCATGTATAAAAAATTTAAATTTTTTATTTTAGTCACTCATAATTTTGATGTTTATGTTAAATATTTCATAGCTAAATTTTTAAAGTACAACAATTGATTATACCAAATTATAATTTTTTTTAGGATGTTCTAACTGGAAAATATGGAGAAGATTCAAAGCTTATCTATGAATTAAAAGATCAAGGTGGTGAAATTTTAGCTCTGCGTTATGATTTAACTGTACCTTTTGCAAGATATTTGGCCATGAGTAAAGTGTCTTCAATCAAAAGATATCATATTGCCAAGGTGTACAGAAGAGATAACCCTTCTATGACCCGTGGGAGATACAGAGAATTTTATCAATGTGTATGTATTAATGCGATTTATTTGCTAATATTATATTTTTCTTAAACTTTCTAGTATGATTTGTATTTATATTTAACCACTTCTTGAGATTTTTTATGAGAGCAACAATTTTTTTGTGTTATTAGATAGTAGATTTGTGTTATATAGTTAGTAAATATTAGATAGTATTTATTACAAGTCGATTATTATTTTCTTATAGTACAAATACAATAATAAAGATTTTCTGAATATACCTCAAAACTACCATCTTAAAATTTTAGATTTGATTAAAATGCTTTATATTTCTTTGCTAGAATAAGAAACATAAAAGATGTGAACTTATTGATGAAAATTTGGAAAAACTATGTGTGTTTAGGCCGTCGATTAATCACGTGATCGATTTCCAATTATAAAAAAGTTAACATTTGGAAATCATGCTGATTAGTTTTTCACAAAGATCGGCCAGCCCGCTTTTTCATAATTGATTGTTAATTTTTTTTTCTGAGAATTTTAATGAAACTTGGTATGGCCATAGAGTACCTGGTCTTAATGAACATACTAAAATATTATAGTCCTACAAAAAAATGATTAATTATGAAAAAAAATTAAAGTTTGAATTAATCGACCGTGTATGTATTAGACGTATTTCTTTTTTGAATAATGTGTAACAAGAAAAAATTGTATAAAAATTAATAATCTGCAAACAGCATCTCGGTGTATTTATAAATCTTTCATAAATTAATATATTGCTTTCATGTTGATTAAGTTGATTATTTACACATATCGGGATGTTTATGCAACTTGTCTTAGGGGCCGTTCAAGTATTACGTAAGCACTATAGGGGGGCGGGGAGGTTGTTGATTTGCTTATTTTGGGTTGACATGGGGGGCAGGGGAGTCTGGATGATGATTACGTCATAGGTAGTATATTTATTTTTTTACATTAATTGCAAAATGTTTATGTAAGCATGGGGGTAGGGGGTATGAGCTTTGCTTACTTTTGCTGACGAGGGGGATGGGGGGGTAAATAATTGTAATAAATCTGCTTACGTAATACTTGAACGATCCCTTAAGACAAAATGTCACTTACAACTAGTTGATACTATAATTTGATAAACCAAGATCAAAATTTGAAAGTAATTTTTTTTCAATTTTATTTTGAATTAATTTTTTGGTTATTTATATTTTTGTTATAAATAGGACTTAAAATTATTGTTACACAAAAACTTATAATTTGGAAACAAGTTTATATTATAGTTGTCTGGTATCTATATTTTTGTGTTAAATATGTTGAATGTATTAAATGTTTTATTATAATTTTAACTTTTTCTAATTAAATTTTCATTACTTTTGCAGGATTTTGATATTGCAGGAACTTATGATCACATGCTTCCTGATGCTGAATGTGTAAGAGTTGTATACGAGATCTTAAACGCTTTAGATTTGGGAAACTTTGTTGTAAAATTGAATCACAGATCTCTTTTAGACGGAATGTTTGAAGCATGTGGAGTTCCTCAAGACAAATTCAGAACTATCTGTTCAGCAGTCGACAAACTGGATAAGGTATAAAGGATAGTTTATTTGCTCTTATTTGTTACTTTCTGCTAAATTGTTAAGTTATCAATGAAGTATTAAGTAAGAAGCTCAAAGTAAAACCTGTTTTTTGAAGAAATTTTACTAATACACTTAGATTATTTAACATTGCATTATATGTTATGCATATTATATGAGGATTTTTATGTTTAATGCATGACATTTATTTAAAACAAATTTATATTATTTTATAATTAAATCATTTTATTTCAGTCTCCTTGGGAAGAAGTAAGAAAAGAAATGGTTGAGGAGAAAGGTTTGAGCCCAGAAAGTGCTGATAAAATCGGTACATATGTCCAACTAAATGGTAAAAAGGAATTAGTAAATAAATTGCTAGAAGATCCAGATTTAAAGAAATCACAGATGGCTATGAAAGGCTTAGAGGTAATTTTTTAAATGCTAATCACCTAGCAATTGGTTTTAGTATTCATTGATTTATTTATTATCCAGGCAATGAATTTGTTGCTGGATTATTGTGAAATCTATGGTGTTGATCATTGTGTTTCATTCGACTTGAGTTTAGCAAGAGGTTTGGATTATTACACTGGTGTAATTTTCGAAGCTGTACTTAAAGGTAATTTAATAAATTTATTAATATGGTAAACTACATTGTTGGGATTTTTTAAATTGTGCCAAAATGTGATTTCTTGTGATATATATATATATATATATATATATATATATATATATATATTATATCTAAAATTTGAGCAGGGAATTGATTTAACTTCCCAAAAGAGAGGCTTGTTTTCGACAGAAAAACCAAATTGCTAATATCTAGTTTCTCGATGTTCCAAGTAATTCTCAATCTTGTGGCATCACAATTAAAAATAGTATGTGTCTGTGAATTATTCCGTGTATATTCAAAAAGTCAACAGTTGTTTGATGTGAACTGGACGAAAACTTGCATTGGATCGTTTTGCGAGTTAAATTGAATCGGCTGACTCGCTTTCCTATAATTAGCCGATTTTTTTGTCGATATTTTTGCGAATAATTTTTAATTGATTTTGAAAGTTTAGAAACTTCAAAAGATATCATTTGATGAAATTTATTAATAGTGATAGACTTCAAAGTCTGCTTGAATATTCCAATATACTCCGCGAAACTTTAAATACCTTTGTCTTGAAACTGTCTTTTCAACATCTACTGGACCAATTTACTTGAAATGTTACAGAGTTTTATTTAGAGACTTCTCTTTTCTTTAGTACGCTTCTCCACAAATTTCGATTAATTTAGTAATTTTTTTTAGACTGTTGCTCTTTTGTAAAAAAATTGTTTACTTTTTAACTTCCCTTCTCTTTAGTTATAGTAATGGGCCGAATGTCGAAAATGAAAATTTTTGCATATCTTCACTTTTTTAAGGTGTATGTATTGTGTGTGTGTGTGTTTTGTATGTCCGCACTTGTTCGTCCACGTTTTTGGGCGCACGGATCAACCGATTTGAATGGTTAAAAAAACATTCGATTCCTATTGATAGGGAGATGTGCTGATTAGTTTTTGGCAAAAGCAGATCCAGCCGTTTTGGAGATACGGAGCAAAAAGTGCAGAAAATATAAATCGAGTTTTTGAGAGAACGGAGTATCCGATTTGAATGATCTAAAAACATTCAATTTGTAATGATTGGGAGAAGAGGTGATTAGTTTTTGGCAAAGGCAGGTCCAGCCATTTCGAAGATACAGAGTTAAATGTGCAAAAAGTGGCAGTTTTTAAGAGAACTAAGCGTCGGATTTGAATTATTCAAAGAACTTTTTGCATGTTTTAACAAAATAATTGCTTTTTGATTTAATAATTGTTTCTATTTTCTTTTTGTACAAAAAAATTTTTTTTTCATAATTTTTTTTTGTATATCAAAATAATATACGAAATAAATAATTCAGATTGTAATTTTAATTCTGACTAAATTTATAATATACTTTAAACAAATAATTTCAACTTTGCAATTTAGTTTATATAATGCTTATAAATTTTAGACAATGTTACAATCTATTTGAAAACATTTAATTCCTCGCATATTTCATTAAAGTAGGGGAAGTTCCAGCAATTTGCTTCAAGGCACGATGCCATACACTACTAGTCGTAATTAAATGCGTAGATGAATATTCAAGATTTTCAAAAATCTTGTAATTTAATTTGCAGGTGAAGTAGTTCCAAATCCTGTTGCTGGAGATGAACAATCAGGAGTTGGATCAGTAGCCGGTGGCGGACGTTATGATAATCTAGTTGGAATGTTTGATTCTAAGAACAAACAGGTACAATTTTTTATAATTATATATATCACATGTTGTGATATAATAAATTAACTTATAATTGTTTCTTAGGTTCCTTGTGTGGGTGTTAGCATTGGGGTTGAAAGAATTTTTGCTGTTTTGGAAGCACGATTGCAAAATGCAGGACAGAAGTTAAGAACATGCCAAACTGAAGTTTATGTTGCTTCAGCACAAAAAAATCTTTCTGTACATAGAATGAAAGTATTAACAGAACTGTGGAATAATGGTATTAAGGTAATTTTCACAAATGATAAATTCAAAAGATTTATACCATTTATTTATTAATAAACATTTAACAATAAATAATTTCCCAAGCTTGTCAACAAATTAATATGATAATTTTGGAAATTATAATTTCTCAACAATGTCAAAAAATTACATTCATAGTTTTATTTATATATATAAAATGACTAATTTGAAAATTTAATACTTTGGAGACTTCATATGACTTTTGATTTTATTTCAGGCTGAGCATTCCTATAAAAACAATCCAAAATTATTAGTCCAACTACAGCACTGTGAGGAAAACAAAATTCCATTAGCAATCATTCTTGGCGAATCGGAAATTAAGAGTGGTATTGTTAAATTGAGAAATGTCAATACTCGAGAAGAATTGGAAGTGAAAAGAGAGGATATGGTATCTGTTATACAAGAGAAACTCAAAGAGTTACTGTAATATAATTTTATACAAATATAGCACAATTATTTGAGACCTAATTGATATTTATTAATAAAAATTTCAAATTCAAAATTTCTGTTTTTAATTTTTGGTGAAACAAAGCTGCATAGATTAAATTACAAATATTATTTTGTCCGCATTTGGACAGCAGTTTATTATCACTTGTAAATATCAAAATATGTATTCAAGTGATAATAGCCCTTGTCGGCATTGCTGCAATAGAGTTCGAATATATAAGGACAACTACTAGGTTGCCTTTTGATAAAAAATACCGCAAATAGATAGAGCAGCCTTCGGGTTGTCTTCTATAATATTATAGTTGTTGTAAAGTACCATAACAGATTATAAAACTCTTATTTATTATTTATTTATTTAACGGCCATGGCAATAATATATTAGTTATTATTAGTTCTGTTTTTGTTAAAAAATGAACTACAGAATACTATTTAGCATAATTTAACTGTTGGTGAATTATCTGAAGTATATGAATTAAATATTTGTTTTTCTGTGAATCTTATTTGTGTTGTTGATTCTCAAAAATCTTAATTTTACTTAACTCCGACAAATTGATTAAAACTAGATTGTTCTGCGATATCAAATGCAAAATATAATTAATTATAAATTTAAATTAATAAATTATTTTCTTTTCTAAGAATTTCTCTTAAATATAACGCTCAATTTTGTATTGTCGGAGTACCATAGTTCAATCAAAGTTAGTATATAGATGAAATTGCATTAGTCGACGTTGTTATAAATAGTAGTTTTGAATTAAAATTGGAGTAAAAATAAACAATAAATTTATAACGGTTTTGCAAATTTAACATAACTGTTGTGTATAAATATAATCTTTTTGTCATTGTGTTAAAAAATAACGGATGTTCAGTGGTGAAAACGTTTAAGTAAATATGTGGTTAATCCCAATAATATTCGTCTTCGTCATTAATAAAATTAAAGCAAAAAGCTAATAGTTAAATACATTGGTTAAATACAATCACTTTATGGTTAAATACAAGTTGTTAATTACCGCCGTAAAAAATGGTTAAAAATCGGTGCGTCCAGTTACCCTATAATATAATAATAAAAATAAAAACAGTATAAAACCAGATATAATACAGATGTGTTAATTATTTTATTTTTAGCGACTAGCAATGAACAATGCCATTTTTTACAGACAAAAACACAAGCTTTTACGCTTCGTAAATCGATCGATTTATTCTGCTGTTTTTTTTTCAAGTAACTGGGTGAATGAATTTTATGAGTTGTTTAAGGTCCAAGAGCGTAAAATAACAAATCTTACTAGTACTAGTAAATATAAATATTGTACAGTAAATTATTGGTTGAATTGATTTTTCACTTTCTTGGAAAATTTTCGCTACTCATCAGAAATACTCAATCGCCATTCCATGAAACATATATCACGAATTAAGAAAGAAACTGTTTTTGTTTTGTAGGTTTTATAAATCGTAACGTTAATTTTCATAAAATTTCATAAAATACAAATATCTAAAACTTTGTATAGAAATTTTATTTTTTAGTTGAATAGTACATAGTATGTGTGTTTATGTGTGTATGTGTGTGCGTGTGTGCAGATACAAATTTTCGTCGACGATTTCGGGAACACCGATCAACCGATTTAAATAATTAAAAAAACATTCGATAAGTATTGATAAGGAGACAATTTGATTAGTTTTTGGCAAAGGCAGGTCTAGCCGTTCCGAAGATACGGGGCTAAAAGTGCCAAAAACAGTAACTCAGTTTTTGGGAGAACGGAGCGTCCGATTTCAATAATTCGGACGCTCCGTCCGATTTCAAAATAGCGTCCGATTTCAAAAATTTACTTGTATTGAAAAGATAAACAACTGATTAAATTTTTGATAAGGCAGGTCTGGCGGTTTCAGAGATCTAGAAAAAAAAAATGGAAAAAATGCCATTTGGCCGTCAAAAATGATCATAGACATATGCACATCAAATTATAAGATATTTGATACGATATTGTATACGTACCAATTTTGTTTAAATTTCTATGAGTTCCGTAACATCGTATGTCCAAGCAATTTGCCTTAAGGCTTGATGCCATACACCACTAGGTTTTTTCTTATAAACGTCGAAATATTCAATCAGTATAGGGATATATGCTTTCGTTCTGGATGATCAGGTTTAACCTCGCAACAAAGGTTGAAATTCGACTTTATGCAAAAAATTCAAGACGATTTATATATAACTCTGACAAAAATGTACGCATACTTATTTGTTAATTGTCAATGCGACTGAAAATACTGCGTTATAATTTCATTCTATATTAACAGTAATAAAAACCAAAATAAATACTAAAATTTTTGGTTACAGCGTATTTTTGTAGATAACAGATTTTTAAATGTAGTTTAATTAGGCTTGATATAATTTTTTACTTTGTATAAATATTTATTTTTTTATCATGGTTTCTTTAAGAAATAATTTCTATTTCATTTTATTTTTTCTTTATGTTTACAAATGCGAAAATGCGTCATTTCAACGTGCGACGTCTTTGAGACCAGAATCGGATTTTGGACAGACGCATGGCTTTTTACAAAATCAAGAAGATGGTGAAATTAGTACGCCAGAAATTAAAACGAAGAAATCTGAAACGGTATCAGGACGCACGTTTCGAACTAATGAAGATAGCCGTTCGCAAGGCAGACGGATTGATAAAGGACATAACAAGACAAGACAGAAGTCGGGATTCTACAATTCCTACAGAAGGTAAAATATGAATTGTATTTTTAACATACCGAATGTGTAGTTTGTTTTCATAAAAAAATCGATTTGCTAATTTTGTTTTCGCGACGTTTTAAGCCATTCTGTATCGAATGAGACCAAATTTGGAAAAAGTATATGTGTGTGTGTGCGTGTGCATCAACAGATTTTTTGCCGTGAATCGCCGTTTTCTCAAATACGTATATAAGTATCAGTTTTGTGCGACGAGCTGCCTTCTTTATGATTTTAAAAAAAAGTGTTAAACTTTTCGTCCACATTTAAGCTCATACTACCGAATCGATTTTAAAAAATCAAAAACTGTTCGAAAGATATTAGTTGAGAATGATGCTGATTAGTTTTAGGTGAAAATCCACCGAGCCGTTTTCTTGTAATTAACTGTTGAAAAAAAAATGTAAGCCGATTTTTATGGAACTTTTTTAGCGATATATATCATGGTCTTATAGAACTTACTGTAATATTACGATCTTACGACAAGTAGTTTAATTTAAAAAATTCATCATAATTTGAGAAAATGAGTAGTTTTTCTGACGTTAGCTAAAATTAAAATTAGATTTACTTGGTATAACGATAGAGTACTTGGTCTTTGAACATACTAAATCATTAAAGTCCTACGGAAACTGGTTCAATTATAATAATTGTTGATTTTTGAATATTTACTTTTAGAAAATACTCCGTGTTAATGTGTTCGTTCGTTTTCAATAATGTATAATAAAACTACTCGAAATAGTTTTAATCACTCATAAATTATTTATGTAAGTTCATGTAACTTGTCTCAAGGCTAAATACCAATACCAACTAGTTATCAAATAAAATGGTAGAAATATTTCGTTACTCAACAATTTTATAAAATGTACATTGGAATTGATTATGTAAATTCAAATTAATTCATATTTTCAAGACGAAACTTACACATATTTCACATTTCGACATCTCTTTTTATTCAAAACGGTTAGTTCAAAATGTTGAATTTGAAAATAATTCTGCGATTATATTGGAGATATTTATCAAAATATTATATGGACGATTAATAATTACCTATTAGTGCTTTATGTCATTAAATTACTTTCGAAATTCAGTAAAGTGTTACAAAACTCAGAGTGAACGTAATAAATAACGATAGTAATCTAACTATCGAAACTAGTAATATTTCAGAAAGATTATAAGACTAGGAATCAACATATGACGTGTTGTTAATTAGAAATATTTAAAATCGGATTGAAAATAATTTGTTAGGTAGAAACTGCAACTGCAATGAGCAATTATTTTAGTCGATAACATAACTATACTAAAAACTATACTTAAGGATCTTAAGAATATTAGTGCTGGTTCACTAATATTCTTAATTAGCCATAAGTATAGTTTTTCTATTTTTATATATAGATCTTACCACAGAAATAGTATAATTTAAGCTCGGTCAAACTATTTCATTGTTGCTAACTATTGGAGATGCATTAAAAAACTTAACTTTTAAATATGTAATTTTATGTCTCCACATTTTTGTTAATTTTTATAGAAACTTTAAAATCAAAATTCACTAATCTTGTTTATTATTACAGAGATGAATCTGGTACAAATAGCAGCTTCTACGAAGACACCGTGGATGATGGCGCTGAAAAATTATACCACAACGGAGTATCACATTTCGGCCAAGGTTACGATGAGGAATACCAAGATGAGAAGACGACAAATCTCTCAAATAACTATAGAAAACCAATTAATCCTCGTCGTTTCGATTATGACAATCATAATAGGCACAATAATTATAACGATATCAACAACTACCAAAAATATGATCCCGAAGAACAAGAATTATCTGTACTCAGACCACCTCCGCCTTTGAGAGATGATTTTCGCCCTGGAAATCGAAAACTGAATTATTTTTCCGAATATGAAAATCAAGGTAAAAATAGAATACCTCTAAACCATCGTGAGTCTGATGGATTTCCGAGGTTCAATGAAAATGAAGAAAATGTGCGTTATTCGAATCATCGATACGACGACGATGTGGCCCCAGTAAACACCGAGAGATACCGTCAGCGTTTGCGACCCCAAATTACGATATACGAGGACCCAGCGGTTGTCAACAATAGAGGATACGGCAATGAACACAGGTAAAAATTTCATTAATTTATAATAATTGATTATTTTTTATTATTGAGTAAATTTAAATACTATCAAACAGTTTATTAACTTCCCGTAGGGTAAGTTCTAGTAATAATTCACGTTTCAATGGCCTCTCAAGATTTTGGTATACCTTAGAAAAAATGGATGTATA